TGGTGAATGGCCTTGAGGGGAGGCCATATGAGGAGTGGCTGAGGTCACTTGATCTGTTCAGCCTGGAGAAGAGGAGACTGAGAGGAGATCTCATCACAGTTACAACTTCCTTGTGAAGGTAAAGAGGAGGGCCAAGCACTGATCTCTTCTCTGTGGTGACCAGTGACAGGGCTTGAGGGAATGGCCTGAAGTTGTGACAGGGGAGGTTTAGGTTGGATGTGAGAAAAAGGTTCTTACCCCAGAGGGTGGTTGGACACTGGAAGAGGCTCCCCAGGGAAGTGATCACAGCACCAAGACTGACAGAGTTCAGGAAGCGTTTGGGAGATACTCTCGGGCATATGGTGAGACTCTTGGGAATGGGTGCTGGGCCAGGAGTTGGACTCCATGATCCTTGTGGGTACCTTCCCATTCAACATATTTTGTGATTGGCTAAGAATAGAGCCTAAATGTAGATTCCGTTTCATATATACGAGCAAACCTCAACCAATATAGAGAATGTGTAGTGCATAAAAGCTGGCTGTGTGTGAAACCAGATGGGTTTGTAGCTGAAACAGTTCTACTTCTCAGGATGTTGAAAATCTGCCCTGACTGAGCACAGCCTCCTCCCAAGGGGTGTTCCTCAAGCAATTCTAGGTGTTGGGGCAACCTCAGAATTGGAGCAGCTTGTTGCTAAACAACAAAATGAACTTTTTTTTCTAAGACTATATGTGTTGAAATTTCCTTCTTGCAGGAAACTAGAGATGCCATGTTTTGACTCCTGTTTCAGATGAAGACTTGTTTGGAAACATGGTAAGTTCCTTCCCACAGAGTAGAATGTTGCTGCAGAACCATGGCAGTCTTTGGCAATGGAGACCTTATGCCAGATCAATATCTCAAGGGCAAGAAAGAGATGGCATCAAGTCCCTTAAGCAGACCATCTCACAGTTTCTCCTGTAGGCTTGTTCTTCCTTGACAAATGATTGCATTTTTTCTTTTCCTAAAGCAAGTTAATGAGCATACAGTAATTATCTTGCCATGGTATCTCAAGCTGAAAAAAGATGGCTGAAATATCTGCAAGTAGGTGAAGTCAGAATTACACCCTAATATTGTGTTGATCTCCTCTAATTTAGTTCTAAGTGTTGAGTAATAGATTAACTAATTTGAGCCCTTAATTCTATAATAGAAATTTGCTTCTTATTCTCAATTACGACAATTTTAAGAGCAATCATCTGTATCATTCCCTTAAGCTCAGAGAAGGTTTGAGGTAGTAATCTGGATGGTTTGGGCATTAAAAACATCTTATATTTTTATTCTTTGAAATTGGATTGAGGATGGCGATCAAATGCAAACTTTGTATGCTGAAGCATGTTTGAGGTCGAGACTGCTAGGTATAAGCTAACACCTATGAGCCACCTGCAGCAGCAGCTAAAGGACAAGTGGAATATACTCCTTTACTGAGTCTCTGCTGAAGCACTTTTGCTTTAAGACTGCAGGTAACATACTTTTCTGAGTTCTACAAACATAGAATTTGCTATTGTTTCTTCAAATTTCACAGCACAGATTTTGAAGAACTGTCCATTAAACATTGTGCAGTCAGCTGACTGACTCATCTTGTTTTAATCAGATCACTTTGAAAAATCCTTACTGACAAATTCCATTGTAAACTTTCCATTTAGGAAGTGTTGTCTATGTAATTTCAGATATTTCCCTCAAAAGCAGTGTAATTACTTTCTTCTTTATATGCCTAATTGCAAATTTATCTGTAAAAAAAGTCATGTTATTTGCATCCAGTATCAGTATCAGGCATGCCTTGGATTCCACAATTGCGGCTGTTGGTATTTAAAAAAAGTTGCAGAGTTAAGAAAGAAAAAAATGATCTCAATTAAGATACTGCACGTTTAGTTTATTAATGGTGGCATCATGCATCTTTAGAAAGAGTTATGGGGTCTGTTCTTCTGTCTATGAAATTAAATGATGAAGTGTGTCTGTGATCTGTTGGTAGAAACTTGCTGTTGTTATCAGAATTTTTGCAGGTAAAGATCTGTGTTTCAAAGATAAAGTTTTGTGTTTCTGAGTCCTTTTTCTGTGAACTGGTACTTTCCCATAATGAAGCAACTGGCTGAGAGTACAGTTTTGCCTGAGTTAAACGAGATCATCAGTATCCAGGAAGATTTTCCCTGGAAGTTTTTCAGCACTGCAGGGATGGAGAGGTCCCTGGGAAGCTCTTCCTGCTGATACATAAGTCGGGCTGTTGAGAGCTCTTTGCCATGTGTTTTTGTAACTTCCATAATCTGTAAACCACACTTGTGTGGCCAAAGTATAGCTGAAACGGAAAGGAGTGTTTGTGAGCTTGTGACTGGACTAGTTGCAGTTTCACAGAAGAAAACCAGCTTTATCTCTCTAATCCTTTTGCTGGCAGGGAGGACATTAAAAACGAAGGTAAGACACTGTATCTATTTACTGCTTAATTTTTCCCCATAAATTCCAACCTTGTGGTTAGAAAACCCAACAAAATCCAGTAATTCTCATATGTAAACAAGTAGAAAAATAATACTTCAGAGTGCAGGAGCTTGTAAGTATCCAAACCCTAAATATGTTAACACAGCTGCATGTCATGTGATCCACTGCAGTTCTGACACAAAAATATGTGAAATGTTTGAAAACGTCCAGAATACTGCAAATTTCTGATGATCCTCTAACTGAACAAGAGCAAAGGAACTGTTAAAAATCCAAATGGAATGAATGGGGAGCTGTGCTGAAATGATATAAACAGCCCTTTTCCTTAGCTAATATATAAAAGCTTCAACTAAAGCCCTCCCACAGTAAAGCTGTGTAAGCTAGAGTTCTTGCAATGCTTTCTGAATGTATTACTCTGCCTGCGAGCAATCCAGCTGTGTTTTAGGGCATTCTCATCATCTGTTGGGGTTTTTGAGGAGGTCAGTGTGCCACAGTTCAGTGAGAGGCAATGTCTTCGGGTGGCGCTGAACAAGGTAGCACATAACACGAAATGTTATGATTGTGCCAGTGTGGTATTGCAGATAGTTTAACTGCTGTTGCTGCTTACCCTAACATCTTGTCAGTTCTTATCCAGCATATTCGGAATGTAACTCAATGACTGAAGCTGTTTGTGTCTCCTGGGCAATGGCTGAAGTTCTGCGCACTCCAGCTGTACCCTCAGCCATAGCTGGGTTCCCGTGGCAAGTAAAGCAGTGGTGAGAATACCAGCTGCATGTGCAACATCTGGAAATTAAAATTTATCATCAGTCAAGAAGCTAACCAGCACATTTTGAATACCTAAAGTGAAGTGAAAAGCACAGTAAAAGTCACAAAAACACGGCAGAAAACAAAAACATTGCTTATGGAAGTATTAGTGGAATTTACTCAGTCATAAATGTTATCTGCATGCCAGGTCTTCTTTCAAAGCCATGGTGTTTTTTCCACTGAGCTACCGTTTAGTAATAAACCTAATAAGCTTCTGCAAATAGCTACTTGCCCCAGAGCAATAGATGCAGGCTTCAACTATAATGATAACTGCAGGAGATTATCAGTTAAGCCTCCATCAAAAAGAGAACAAAGGAAATTAAAGTGTATTCAGTAACACTTAAAAATAACTTCAATTCCATGCAATTTCAAAAGAAATGTTTCCATGTGTTAATAATTTCAAACAAAACCCCCCCCTACTTTCACTTTTTTTTCCTTTTATATATATTTCCTTCTAATCTCCACTACTTGAGTAAAAATGTCATTTCTTGGTTTAATTCAGTTTGTCATTTTCTAAAAGGCATTTTGTGAAGAAAAGCTTTCTACTTCGTAAAATTTCTATCTGTCGTCCTTTCAACCTGTGATACTGAAGGTAGGGTGTCACTTTGTAGTTATTTGGTACATTCAAAGAAAATGTTGCCAAATATATGGCTGATGATGTTGGGTTTTAATTGTTTCTAACAGATTTTTCTCTGTCTCTTCCTGGAAAAAGCATACTTGGAATTAAAATTTCAACAAGTTCAGCTACATACCTATGGCATCTAGTTGACAAGGTGGTGTTAGGTTAAGGGTTAGACTCGATGATCTCTGAGGTCTTTTCCAACCTGATTGATTTTGAGATTCTCTGATCCTGTGAAGTTAGGGTGTGTGCCTTCTGACACAGGGACTGCTATGATTCATCCAGTTATTCAGCAAATGTGAGTGACTGAAAATGCTCAGTATTCATTCTCTGTCATATTAGAAATAATTGTGTTTTATAAATGTATTTACAATGTATTTTCCTACTGCTATCACTGCCAAGAGCCCTGGGCTGCATCAAAAGCAGCATGGCCAGTAGGTCGAGGGAAGCAATTCTTCCCCTCTACTCTGCTCTGCTCTGCTCCAGACCCTGCCTGGAGTTCTGTATAAAGTTCTGGTGTCCTGTGGTGGGGGGAAACAGTTTTCCCCCTGGAGTTATAAAATGGTAAAACCCCAGGGGGTGGTAACCCTTGAGGTTTTACCCAATGAGCGCTTTTGCAAAATATAAACATATCACAAGTAGAATGGAAGAGAAAGTAGCTGTAGTTGTTGTTGAAGAAGTAGCCATGTTGTGAAGCCACGAGGAGAAGCAGCAGCAGCCCCACTGGGGGCTGGGCCCCCCCCATCCCCCGGTTGGGGGCTACAGGGACTTGGAACAGTGTAAGACTGGGTAAGTACCTGTAGTTAGAAAACTGGGGGATGCTTCTCCACCGTCAGCAGCAGCAGCAGCAGTGGCAGAACTGCACTGACCAGAGAAACGGTGGCAGAGAGCCAGAAGAGATAAGACCAAGCAACAACGACAGGCATGCAGCAACACAGAGAGAACTCCTGGAAGGAGAGAGAGAGCCAAGAGAGAACCGGCAGCAGAGAGAAAACTAGGCTCTACACAGAGGGAGAGAGAAAGTTGGGGTAAGAACTGAACAAAACAGACCCCAAACTCCTTGGAGAGCCCTCCTAGAAGGGAGGTGTGAAGTGCGGTAGCACTGCAGAGGGGAGCTGAAAAGCTCAGGCGTCCTGGAAAACTGGACCAGGACGGCCAAAGGAATGCAGAGGGGGTGACCTTGGCCCCCTTTTGCCGCTACTGCCAAGCTAAGCTAGCAGCCTGAGATCAGAGCACAGAAACTCTGATAGAACTCTTGAGGAAAAGACCTTCAACTGAAAACTGCCCGAGATGTTCTGACTCAGGGGCTGAATCCCCTGAGGAAGAGACCTTCATGGGGATCTTACACTCCATGATATGACGTGGTGAAGCGAGTTTTGTCCCTGCTACGCAGTCCACGGAAGAAAAGACCCTCGCTTGAAGACGACGGGCTGAGGGACTTGGATACCCCTGGTGAGTACTGGCAGAGATCCAGCTACAGCTGCTGCATGGAAGAGCGAAACAGAGAGACTGCTACCCTAGAGAGACTGCTGCTCTGAGAGTGGAAAGGGATCTTTTCCTTCTTCCCTCCTGGACTTTTATTTGGAAGGGAGAAGAGATTTGATCCATTGTAAATACTTTTTTTTGTCATGGTAGAGATAGCTAAGATTGTATGTAATGTATTGTAGTATTTATTTTGTACAGTCATTGTAATATATATTCCCTTCCCCCATTTTTGAGTCTCGTGTAGTGTCTGGAAAACCCATCTCACATTGGGTTGAGATGTGGGAGGGGGCTTGGACTAGGGAATTGTATTTTGGAGCTCTCAAACCATGACATGTCCTCAACATAAGGACATGGAACTGTTGGAGCAAGTCCAGAGAGGGCCACAAAGATGAAAAGAGGACTGGAGCAAGCTGAAAGACAGGCTGAAAAATTTGGGGCTGTCCAGACTGAGAAGAGAAGGTTGTGTGGGGACTTCATAGCAACCTTCCAGTGTCTGAAGGGGTCCTACAGGACAGCTGGAGAGGAGCTCACTGTCAGGAACTGTAGTGATAAGACAAGGAATGAGGGATATAAACTGAAAGAGAGAAAATTTAGGTTAGATTTAGGAAGACATTCTTTACTGTGAGAGTGGTGAGGCACTGGAACAGGTTGCCCAGGAAGGTTGTAGATGCCCCAATGCTGGCAGTGTTCAAGGCCAGGTTCAGTAAGGTCTTGAGTAACCTGGTCTAGTGGGAGGTATCCCTGTACATGGCCGGGGGTTGGGACTAATATCTTTAAGGTCCATTCCAACCCCTTACATTATGTAATTTTATGACTATGGCATCTTTATAGGTGCTTACCAAACAGAAGGGCCATTCCTCCACAAACTTTCATGAATTCAGGTATTTAACACTACATTTTACTGCTTGTCCAGCAAATGCCTTGTTGAAATAGTGCCAAGATGCAGAAAAGAGCACAGAGTGTAGAAATGAATGGGAATGGCATGAAGGCTGGATTTTCTCCAGAACCTTTCTGTAAAGTGGGCAACTGATCTTAGCTGCAGTGTCTTGAGGTTTCAGGCATATAAGCATTTTCAAATATATGTACTCCAGTGAGTATATGTGTGGTCAACTCTATTCATAGTATATAATGATTTTTATCTAGAAGAGCTTGCTATTACATTTACCAGACTTTTTCTTTGCTGGGATATTCCTGTTTGAAGAACTTGTTCTGTCTCAAAAGTGTGTGTTTATCTTCTAGGACAATAAGAGAAAAAATTAGTGTCAAAAAAGGGTCACTTTTGGCATCGAGCAAATTATTTAGGGTAATTTGATTCTTATCTACCAGAAAATTTAATCTGAGAATACTGGCAGCAATGGGAAGGCAGGCAGACCTTCTACTTCCTGTGTGCAATGATGGATGCCATGGTTAAATTCTGTCCTCTGCTCTGGGTATTTAGATCCTGCTGTCCTGTCTCTTAGGACAGAACATGAACAATTAGCAACAGTGAGGTCTACTGCAATGTGTTCTCAGTTGCTCCTTTTTAACCTTTTTTCTTCAGAGGAGCAGTCTGTGGGACTGATGCCCTCTCTGCTAGCGGCGTGTGTTAGTCAACTGACTGTAAAGATGTTCTCAGTTTTGATCATGGCCATTTCGGTGCTGCACACAAAGTGAACCATTTACAATGCAAGGGGTGAGAACCTGCCTCACAATCCTCCAGAAAACAGCCACACAAGGAAAGGCAGGTCCTAATTCAAACCCATGCACTGTCCAATCAATACAGGAGTTTGAATTTGTGTTCCTAACTCATGTGAGTATCCTAGCAATTACTTTTTGTATAATTCCAAAATAAAACTGGTCCAATAAGCCACTTCATGCAAACTACTTCAGCGATAGTTTGTAGTCAATGAGCAATAGAGAAAGAATGATTCTTCAAGCTGATGTTAATGGCATTCACTTTGGAAGCTGCGGCAAACCCTATTGCAGTCAACACATCAGGAAGAATTTCTTAGTATAGCAAAGAGTGAATTGTATATAAAAAGTCAAAGAGAACAATCCTTTTGCAACAATTGTATGTATCTTGTATTGTATTTCCTTGTCTTTTATGTTTGCATTTATCAAATATTTGCATTTTCCAAAAATGTTTCCTAATGAGGCACAGGGAACATTCCACGTTAAAAGAAGTACAGTGGGCTGGGTGGGAGTGGTAGGGGTTTTGATGTGGAAACCTGGAAAAATTTTGAATTCGATTCAGTTTGAACCAGCATTCTTTTTCAACTGTTTGGCTTGGCAGCTTAACTGAAAAACTGGTTATTTGACAACCCTAAGGCCTCCTTTGCAGTTGGACCCTCACGTTTTACTAGGAAAATTGTAGCAGTAGTCCCTAGAGCTGTTTGTGCATGGCACAGACACACGAAATGGAAATCCCACTAAAATTTAGGGTTGTCTGAATTTTTTGGAAATGAGGAACTCTAAAATGAGATTAAATAATGGCATCCACAGTATGCACACTACTGGACTCTCCAAAGACACATTGTTGTTTTCACAGATTCCTTCTGCCATTCATTTGTCAGAAAGATACCTCTGATGCACATCCTTCTGGGAAATATTAGGAGGAGAGCTCTTGACTTGTGTGCATTGTTAGCTGGGAACAGAGACATTCCTTTTTTTAACTTGTTCATTCCATGATGTAATGAGAACATTTTAAACCAGGACAAGCAAATTACAAGTGCCAAGCTTTTTCCTAGATGCTGCTCATAATCAAATACACCCATCCATGCTTTTAAATACCTCATAATTAAACATGCAAAAATGGAGACTTAATTTGAACATGTAAATTAATCACATGTTGTAACAATGGAAATTCATAACTGAAAATCCATTAGCAGACAACGCTGTTCCTCATTCTTTTGTTTACATGTTTGTACTAATCACGCAATAGGATTTTTGGTGCATGTCACCCTTTGAAAATTAATTCTGTATCAACTTAGGAGATGTGTTCCCATTTCTATTGTATAGCTTTGCTCTATAAATGCAAATAATTGCAAATTAAGCCCCAAATGTCTAAAGAACAGCAGGAGTGACTATTATTTGATGTATGATGCACATAATGTAATTTCTGTGTCACTACTCTAGGGGTTAAATGAGTATCATGTTTTGGACATCTTAGGAAAATAATAAACAACGTAGCTCATCCAAAAAACATCTGCTGATATTTTTTTTATTAAATAGAAGACAAACATATTTAAACTGTGTTTTCAATCATCTGCTAAGAAAGAAGTTTGCATAAAACTCACCTTTTTATCCTGAAAAAAAATTGTGAAATTACAATTTAGAAAAAGCCAAAATGTATCCCCATTGTGTGTTTAGCAAGTAAAGAACTCAGTTGCTGTGATGGGCTACATTAAACATAGATGGATGAGAATGAGGTCAGTGGAGTGAACACAAGCTGTAGTCCACAGAGCTACTGTCCATGCACATTACCTTAAATATGTTTTTGCAATGGAAGTCTGTACTTGCCTGTGTATTTCAGTGTATGTGTTTGATAGGCCATGAAGCTTTGTCTAGCAAAACTAGATATTTGTGAAATAAACATCCTTTTCACATTTGTATTTCAGTTGAACACCAGCAGCACTTTTATTGATAGACCTTACCTGACTCTGCTGGAGCCTGAATTCACTGTAACACTTGGGCTTTTCATCATGTAATCGGGAGCCTGGTCAGTAAAGCCTTTTTCATTAACTTGGATCAGGCCTTGGAATTCTCCTTCATCATTTAGTGCTTACTCAGTTGAAAATATTGCCTTGAGCTTTCTCACCCATGCAGGAGAAGTTCTTCACAACTGAACCTTTTCTCTTTTTATTGTATAAATCCAGCCTGATCCGCAGCGTCCGGCTTCTTAATGTACTATGCAGCTGTCTTCTGCTCTTGGCTTCATGCCGTCTTCTTGTTATACCTCTCAATAGGTCAACCACTTCCACACTCTTGTTTTGTTAATCCCCTTTAAATAACCACTGATTTTATAGTGCTACTTACAGGAAATACCTCTTCAGTAGTGCTTCTGAATCACTTACAACTTAAAATGTCGCCATATGCATCTTAAACTTAAAAAACCCCCATCTTGCCCTATTCAGTATAGTAGCATCATGTCTACAGACACTGCAGTGAATTATGATGAAAAAAAGGAGGAAATTTTTAAAGAAAAGCTTCTCACCTTCCTGCATAAGAAGTACTAAATTCTGTTGTGAAGCACTTGGACATACATCAGAGGTTGGACTGATCAACCTGGGGTCTAAATAATGAGGGGGAGCCACACCGTTACAAAGTGTATTAAGTGCGAAAATAGGAAAGCATTTATAAAAATGTAGCAAACAGCTTTGTGATAATTAGTGGAAAGGAGGTCACAGCCTGTCTTTCTGTCCTACACGAACCTTTTGTTTATTATTGTGGCATATGACAGCATATGGCTCTGAGTTTTCAGTGGACTAGTACAATTTCTCAGTTGTTTTTGCTTTCTCTTTTCTCACAGTAAGATGCGATATAAATTCCTAAACTCAAAACCCTCGAAAATTCAAACCACAAGCCTCGGTGGTATTTGGAGTTTATGTATTCTTTAACCAAAGGCCTTTACATAACCAGATACTGATACATTCTTTAGTGAAATTCTTGAAGCTTTGGACTCAACCACTGCTTCTTGCAGTGATGTGCTTGAAAAAAATGTCAACTATGTAGCTGTAATGGAAGGTTGTGGAGTTGAGGTATGTCCATTTTTTCAAAGTGACAGACTGGTGTCAAGGTCTAGAGTGACCTCCATCAGGGTGCTGGCTCCAGCTTGAACAATCCTGTGGTGACATCAAAATGTTGGCATCTATATTTAAACATTTTTCTCTTATTGTCATTATTGCAGAGAAAAGCTGAAGATCTGGCATGAATGAATCCGCTACAGAGATATCTGCTGGAGTAAGCAGAGAACTTTAAAGCTACACGAGTTGAGAATGGTCTCATTCATTTTTCATAGGTTATTAATTCTGAAACCTTTCCGTTGCCTACAGCAGAGGAGTTGGATGTGTAAGAGAGAAGTTCTCCGAATAATAGTCAGAGACTTGATTTCTGAGAGCACAAAGAGGAAAAATGCAGCAAAATCCTTGTTGGAAGGAGAGATACAAAAGTGTTTAAAGAAGCTTGAGAGCAAAAGAAACACACAAAGGGTTTACAAGGCTGGAGTTAAACAGAACTAAGTAGGATTTAGATATGTACTTAGAAAAAATAATCCTTAAAAGGAGGAGAACAACCTCCTTTTCCACCCAAAATCAAAAAAGAATGCTATTAAAATGTTCTTAAAGTTGTTCTTAAAGTATTTAGTTTCTTTTAATAACACTCATGATACATTGGGCAGTCCAACATGATTCTGTGTGTATTGGCAAAGCACAGTAGCTTTTTGAATACTCAGTCTTCATCTAAGTGTGTTTCAGACCTACGTGTGATAAACCTCATTTGCTAAATATGGGAGGTTGATCCACTCTATATCACAGCAGGATTTCAGGTAATAAATCAAAATAATATAAAGGTGTTGGGCTTCTTGACTTTTAATTGACTTGCTGCATTTTTCTCTAAAGTGTGATGTTAATGAGAAATCTCATTGTCAGGACCCTTTTACTGAAATATTTGTGCAACATTGTGACTGCTTTTCTTCTAAATCCTCTGTACAGTCTACATTGCCATTCAATTTACTTTGGAAAATTATTGGGAGCATCCAGAAATAAAATCCAACCTTTCTTTCCCATATTTTTTATGATATTCTTGTTCAGGTATCCTGAATGGGAACATGATCGAGAAACACAGGGCTCAACAGCCAGAGTCTAGAGCAAACTAATCTGGCACTGCTATTCTGGGCAGTGAATCCTTTGTGGCTTTAGGCAGACAGAGCACATGATCTTTCAATCTCAGTTTCCCTTTCTGTAATATAGAGTGATGAGAATAATTTCATTCTTATCTGACACAATATTTTTATTAACTCTAGACAGGTGAAATGGTATGGAAATAGCCTTAATGAGGTCTGTTCAAAATCAGAGCCTATCTGTCATTCATCTTTTAATTGTTTCATTTTTTTTAGTGAACAAACTCAGTTCATAATTGAAGAGACCAAAACATTTAAAGGTTGGATTTGTATTCTGGAGAGTATTCAGAATTTCAAGAAAACTACCCCCCCACTGTTTCATTATGAGAAATATTCTAAAGGCTTTCCAAAAGTTTTGTCTTTTTGCAGAACCACAGTCTGTTTATTTCTTCATGCCAAAGATGAGGTTTGGCACAGGATTGTCCCACACCCTTGCCAAAAGCTCTCCTAAGAGCACACTCAGTTAGTTTATATTACTACTTTTGAGAAAGGAAACATTAAAGAAACCATATTTTTAATACAGTATAAAGGTCCTCTGAAGGCTGAAAATGCCTCCCTCTGGCCCCACCTCACTGCAAAGGACTAGGGGAAGTGAGGGAAAAAGGAGTCCTACAGTCAAAGAGCTGCCTCCGTGTGAGGCCTGGGAGCTAGGACAGCTTTGCTCTAACCCTCATTTCCCTGCAGGCAGGGAAAAAATTTTTTCAAAAATTGCTTCTAAGTGTGGTTGCCCAAGTCGAGACAACCATGGCTTCATTTTCAGCAAGTCTGGGCACTCTAAACACCTGTTGATTTTACAGTGACTGTTCAAGGGAAGAAGGACCTAGGACGCCTCCTGCCAGTGTTCCCAAACTACTGCAAGTGCAGAGTACCGAGAGCCATGTCTGTCCCTCTCCCTCTGTGACCCAGTGAGCACTGGTGCATTGCCTCTGCAGCTTCTATAAAAGGTCACTAAGGCTATGGTTATCCTATTTATACATATAAATATGTATATTACATTTAACTTGCATTTTCTTTGCTCTGAAGGTGGTAAAACCTCTAACTGATGTCTGGAACCCTGGGCCTTTCCCTGATTCCAAGAATGACACAGCAGGCATGTTCTTTTACTTTTGACTTTGGCATTACCTATATATTTGGGAAAGAGAGACTTGAGGGATCTGCTAACTATGCTGCAGAAAGACTGCTGATCACTAAACCATTTCATTTAAATACAGAGGCTTAATTGTTTTACACTTCTATGAAATTTTGAAGTCTGAGATAATACATAATTTAAACATTGAAGGCTATTGTCATAGAAATGCCTGAGTCTGTAGCCATACTATGCACAAAGTGAGAGAGCATTTCAGGTGATTGTAAGAAGATTTTTGCATTGTAAAAGAAAAATGTGTGTGTATCCATGTATCTGTGTATCTATCCATTCATCCCTTCACTCATCCATTTTTCCATCCATCAGAACTCAGATTGTACTTTTGGAAACTGAAACCAGATGTTAAAGCTCTCACCCAGCTGAATATTTCCCTCCTCCTGCAGGTGTTCATTCAGCCCATTCATTGTCTATAGGCTGCATGGGGCAGGCATAGTCAGCTAGCAGAAAGCAAGCAAAAGCATGGAAGATACTTTTTTCCATTTGAGTTCCCCATGCCATACGGCAGCCAAATTTTCTGTATTTAATTTTCAAATATGCTTTTTTCTTTTTTTTTTTTTTTCTCCCTAATGAAACTGCCACTTCCAGAATTTCTTATTCAACCATCTTGTTCAACCACAATGCCTCTTCCCCCTAGGGATTCGTCCAAAGAATTTCCATTAGGTGGCTGAATACCTAAGTGTTAGGGATGTCTATGCAAAATCTGCATATCAAATTTCAGTTCCCTGACTTGCATGGATGGCATCCTTTTCTCTTCTGTAAGCAGAGCTGTCTTTGAGACCTGCCAGAGTTGAACTGATGTGGATCCAGCTTCGGGGTCAGGGCCTTTAAGACTTTTTAGTGAAAGTTAACACCTGAGTTACAAAGCACTTCTACTATGATATGAAAATGAAAATACTCAAAGAAGGACTTATTTTAAAATCTAAAATTATTCTCAATATTAGTGTTTCTGGAGACAATAAAAGTGAAAGTTTCAGCGAATAGATCTTCCTGTCATAAATTCACAATGATACTCAGATGTCAGTCCTTGAAGAACTTTGTCTTTTTTCTGCTGTAAATAGATCTTTTGTTTAGTTAACCTGCTGGAGAATGTAAAAGAAAATTAACATGTTCTGTATACTCAAGGAATGAGGACTGTTTATTTGTACCTTCTGACTGCCTGTGTTTTACAGGCCAAAAAATATTCCTCTGTCGCATCTGCATTGAGTCCAATTCTTTCATGTTTGATTAAAATGTTACCTGCAAATGTAAACTTGTGAGCACAATTTCTTTTCTACTCATGTTCAATTTGAAAAACTGTTACTCGGAGCTCAGAATGAATAAGGTGTTGTTTTCTATGGCACTGGATTCTCTGGTTTTCCAACGTCATAAGCTCCAACAGTAGATTTTTCCAGTAACTAGGAAATTCCTGATGGCTCAATACTAGTGGATTCTCTTAAGCCTAGTAGGTTATGTTCACACTGAAGCCTTTTATTTATTGGGACCACTATTAAGGCCATCCTGTTCACCCATCCAACAATTTTCCTGCAGCATGTTAAGAACTTAATTGTTTCTGAGGTGTCTGCTTTTATTAGATATGGTTGAAATTGGTGATGGTGTCCAAAAAATTATTGAAGGGGTAATATGCGTGTGACCACTCATGAAGACAAAGCTTATCTGTATAAGATTTGTTTCCCTATGGAATCTGGCAACTACGCTGTCAGATATATCTGAACCCCTGTGGATTGTTAGTGTTCTATTCTTACTGTTCATTAGAGAAGGAGAGATCATCAGATGCAGATAATCATGCAGTTTTGTCAGATATAAAACATAATTCCCAGAGGATATCAGCAATGACCAATGGAGCAATTTCCCTCTGACATTCTGCCTGTTTCTGGGGTTGTTTTGCATCATGGTGGATCTTTAAAAAATATGTTTAAAATACACTGCTCTGATAGACTGGAAATGAGAGTTAGTAAATAGTTTAATGTTTGTCATATTTTCAAAGTACTTCATCACATCAACAGCCAATAGGCAGGATGAAAAAGAAATGGTGAGACTCTGTTTGTCTTCACTTCTGTTTGTGTTTGCTATATCTGAAGATGCTCCTAGATTTTGTTACAAAAATACTTTTCATTTAGAAATTTGGACCTCCTCTGATGTAAGCCCCAAACATTTCCATTTCTAAGTGCAAGAAGTTGATCCCTATGTAATTATGCAGTGGTGCCAGGTTCTAACCACACTACCTTACCTACCCTAGTCCTTTGGCAATGTTTTACTTGCAACAACTTTATATACCAAACATGTTTGTTTAATAAAAATGTTGTTATGATAACTATAAACAACATATTTTTTGTATGACTAATGTTTTCATGAAGTTGGTTTCATTTTCACAGGTCACTGCTTCCTTTTCCAGCCTCACAAACAGTTTTCTCAATCATTTTGGGCACCGAGTTGGTACCTCAGCACTTGGATCTGTGTCCTATGATTTGATCTTTTCAGAGTGTTCTCCTATTTGTCCCTGTCCATGTGCTGTTTTTCTGACACTTTTTTTCTTCTTGTGTCTCTTTATGACAGTGTTTCTCCATGATGTTCTTGTTGAAAGAGGTGAGATATCCAGAAAAAAATTAGATTCTGTGTGAAAAAAAAGGAAGAAGCTGACCAATAAGCTGCCTAGAAAGTAAGTAATTTTTCTTCTAATTCCTTATTTGTGTGCGTATGTTGCTATCTTAAAATCTACATTCATGATTTTATCTACAACATAAGACATATTTTGTAAATGAGCTTAAACACTCTATCAAATTGTAATTACTCACGAATAGTCTCTATTTATTGCTAATGATATGCATCACACTAACAGAGTTTGATATACTGATTATACAAATAAAGTTCATCTGAGGTAACAGAGTTTATTCCTTTTTCAGGCATCCAGCCTGGATCTCAGCTGCAAAGTAAGTACCTCTCCACATCTCATTACCAAAATAGCAACCTTCTTAATCCTTTGCTGTGAAGAACAAAGGTTCGATTCAGTCTCTGGAGCAGAAATAGGATCTTATTAATGCACTGGCAACTACAGTGTTGTTATTTTTGTTAGAAAAGGGAGAAACAGGAATTTGCTGATATATGTTAGATTAAGGGCTGTTATTGTTTTGAGATTAATTGGATTGTTAGCTGGGCCTTTCTGATGTCAGTTGAAAATCTACAAAATACCTTGTAATTTTATATTCTGGATGAGTTCAGGAGCTACTTCCTGGAAATTCACTTCTATTCTTTGTATCTGTTCTGAAAGAATCACTGAGGGTATCAGTTAAATGGTGTATTGTTTACTGCGCATGGAGAAAAGTTCTTGTGTCACTCTTGCCTGGAGTGCTGGTTTTTCTGACTCAACCCACTTGCCATTCAATAGATTAAAGCTGATACCCAAGATATCAGGTAGGTACCTCGTGCTAAGCCTTTGTGGAGCACTGACTCAGAAGAGGTCTGTGCATTAGCCGAGTGTCGACGTTTGAACATGCTACAACTGACGTACGAATTCACATTTTGAAGTGTTAGACCTCCAATAATGTTTTGTGGAGCCTTTTCTTTCTTTTGAAAGATTTGCTGTCATGTAGTGTTGGGCTGCAGTGGACTGTAGAATTTGAGATCCCTGTGGAGTAGACTCTGTCTCTGGCAGCTCATCAGGACAAAGTTGAAATTAGGATTGCAGAAAAGAGCCAGAGGAATTCCACTTGGTGAATTAAATGTTATTGAGCTTGAGGACCTGGAAAAGGGTTAGGGATGGATCTGGGTGAACTCCCAAATTGGTATGAATGACTGGCATAGAAGGTATTGCTTAGAGCAAAAATAAATGCAGTGTAACTGATCCGTTGAGACCAGCAAACTGTTTCTGGAAATGACTGATCTTGATAATTCTCGGCGATAGGCAAATGACATACTCCAAATTACGTGTGGTCCATTGTGTAATTCTGTGTGGGTGTGGACTTTTGCAGGTTATTGGCCTATGCCATCTGGCACAAAATGTGTTTGCTTAAGTCTTAGCATGTAGAACTTTGGGTGTTTATCTTCATGTGTATGTGAAAGGTTCAGGGTTAAGTGAGGGAGAACTATCCCAGAAACTGCGGTCAGCAGAAGCATTCTGGATAACTGTTACCAGGCCTGTGTACTGTCACAGAAAATGAAGACCAGTAAGATGGCATTTGCAGTGAACCTCAATTCTCTGCTTCTATTCCTCATGGTCAGGACAAACCCTGTGTTTGGCCTCCAGGAGATATGACAAAGATATGTCTATTGATGGCGAATGTAGGCCAAGACTTGTGGCTTGAGCATGTGGACGTTTATTTGGAAATTGTAAAAGACTTCTGAGCATACTCTAAGGCAATTATGTAGTATTAATTGCTATTTTATCCTGATTGTCTATGTCCCCAGAAGGCTTTCAGTATCAAGGTTTGATAGAACAGGCACGTTTGAATTACCAATAGGATATTTGGGGCCAAGCCTGTTCTCTGTTATGCCACTGTAAAGCTGGGGTAATATTGAATTCTGAGTGACAGGGGCAGAGCTAGAGCAGGACTGGACCTGAGAGAGGAAGCTGTGAGTGCGTGTGTGTGCCTTGGGCGGTGAAACAGCTGACTGAAGAAACAGCTCATGTACTGCTTGCATTTCTCCTTGATAGTTTCCAGCTGTCCTCTTACCCTTGGCATGCAAAATGACATTAATTAGTTTCAGCTTATGAAAATAAGCAAGAGACAGTATGTGTTACACACCTTATAGTGCTGCACATAAACAATGGGATACATACAACAAACTGTGATTAAAAATGCTGAGTGACATCGTTGTTATTAAGCCAGGAGCTGAGTAAAGAGAAAGTTCCTTTGGCAAAGTAGCCATAGGCTAGATGGTTTCTCAGCTTGTACAACAGAGGAAGATGTTTACATGCAGGAGATCAATGTGTATTGCACCTAGACCATGAATGAGAGTGTCACAGACATCATGCTTTCATCATCGCAGGTCTTTTAGTATTAACTGAGGCAAGAGAAAAGGAAGAGCTAAATAGGACAGTAAAAAAAGAAGGTAGTGTTGTTTTTCTCCAACCAGTAAGCACATATTTGTAGAATATTAACAGTTTTGGGTGTTTTTTCTTTATATTTATTGCACATTTTCTGATTAGTGTTCCTGGATGGCTTCCTCAGAGCATATGAAGAATAAATAGACATAACATGTGTTCAAAGAGTTTGCACACCTAAATTTTCCCACCTGTTAGTTTATTGTCACAATGAGAGATATTTTTATGCTACCGCAGTAAGACCTGCCACTACCTTGCTGCCCAGGTTGGTAGAAAAATATTAGCAGAAGTTGACTGAAATCAAGAGATGCAGTAGAAAATGCATTAAGCAAAGCAGGAAAATCACAATGTCTTAACACCATTGCTAGCCCTAATGGCTAGACAGATTTTACTATATTGGGTGAACAGCTACAGGCTCTGTCTAAAACAAACTGGAAATTACAAACTCAAATGTAAGTGAATACTAGAGGCTTAGCGGACAAGGTTATGCAAAAGTTAGAATATGTACGGATGCTGCAGTCCTGATTGAAGAGTTTCTGTGAAAAGCAGAAAGAGGTGTTGTCAGGTTGGTGTTGCCCAACTAGAAGTGTTGTATAAGCCTGGAGAAATTGTCCCTATAACCTAAAAATATAAATAATAAATGAACTACAGGTAATTGTGTGGACAATAGTGAATCTGGACAAATGTACTACTGAAAAACGATGCCTGATTACTAAGATTATTTGGTAAATGAATGACTTATTGGGGTCAACAAACAACAAAATTAGATGAGCTGTGGCTGAAATGTCAAACAGGTATTTTGGTTTAGTTCATAAAATGTAACCATGATGAAGTTCTGTTATGAGGGGACCTTTTTTTCCTACGTGTGTGGGGATGGTAGAAGAGGAAACTGAGAAGACAGCAGAAAACCTATTTGGAAGGATAGAGAGAACTGGCTTGTATGAATTTTCTGTCTTAGACTTGACTCCTTATGCAAGCTGAGATCAGAAGTGTTGCAGATTTTCAAGGTAGTTTCCACTTAATTTGGAGCATTAACCTAGGGATGCAGGTATGCACTAGGTAGAGGCAGCAGACAAACTTACTGTTAAGTGTTTTGCTCTAAAAATGGCAGTGGAAAATTAGCCTGAGATTTGAAAGGTGAGTAAGACACATGGTGGAACTGCACAGGAGACTGGGGCTGTAGGTGCAAGTGAATAAGATTCAGAAGCAAACCAGTTTTTAATTCTCTATGCTTTTTTACTATAGAAAGATAAAGCATTAGGATTTGTGTGCCTTGTAGAAAGTTTAATTCTATCAAAGCATCAGATTTTTATCTCATTTCTCAGCTGGGTGCAGTTGTAGGAAATCTCATGTGTTGTCTGTGTGCAATGATCTTAACCAGAGGGATTTCAGACTGCAATGCTGAATTCAAATCTGTCTGTCTCGTCACTGAGTAACACTTTGTGAGGCGCTGGTGTTCCCTGGGGACCTGTCACCTTACAGAATGTAGGAAATTAAATTAATGAAAAGAGTTTGGTTGAGCACATGTTGATTTTATATTTTCTTGAGGAAGGGAATCCTGAAGGAACATGTGCCTCTGCGCAGGAGAGCACTCAGTCTTCTTGGTGGAGCAAGACTTACTGTCAAGTTGGGAAAGTGTCAACAAGGAAGAGTTTTGATACACAAAGTAAGTTATATCAGTCCAGAAAGCAAAGGAAGTTTCCATATTCCGACAGGCTTTTCAAACTAGTGAGCAAGGCCAGCCTTTATTGGACTGTGAGAATATTGCACAAGATTCATCCTGCCTTTCTACTCCTAACTGCTTGAGTCACTGAAGGTATGTCTACTCAGGATTTGGCTGGCAGATATGAACTCTATGAACTCACTCTGTCTGCGCTCCAAGCTGGCTTGATGAAAGCTGCCTGGGAATGGGAAGCTGCGTAGCCATCGTTAACTTGAGGCTGAGCCTGAACTAATTGGTTCTGCTGGGAAGCAGGGTATATTAGCTTGGGTTCAGTGTTAGAGGGCTGCTGTTATAGGACTTTAGAGTCAGAGTTAGTTTCTGTCTGGGCTTCTTGGAGCACTTGCAGAGAGAATTGGATCTGTTTGCAAATCTGCCATAGAAGTACATCCTGAATATGTTAGAAGGGTTAGACAGACATGATTCAGAAAAATGGTGTCCTAAAGACTGCCCATTCTTTTTAAAGGAACCTTTGAGTAATAATCCAGTGCCAAAGTCCAGCTTTAACAAACAATCTGCTTTCAGATGCATTCTGTCAGGTCTGACGATTGATGTATGCTAGTGTTAGTGGGAAAGACTTAAAACTGTATGTTTGAATGGAAACCCAGGTGTTCTGTGGAAAGGACTGTGCAGGCATGACAAATGAGCACCTTGCAGTAGCAGCTGCCTGAACTAAATGCCTCTTCCTATACAGTCCATTGCACAAACCACTTGCTCTCTTGTTTACAATGAATGAAAAGTGCTAATGACAACTTATTTATCTGGTGTCCCAGACTCCCAAGTCACTCAGGTCCTTTTGAAGATGCTCTCTTTCGAATTACTTTCTGTAATTTATTTCCATGCCTCTGATTTTCAGAAAAAACCCCAAACCTGTTCCCTAAACAAAATTCATGGGTATTTTAACAATTATTTTGTCCTTAGCCTCAGGAGCCCATTAGTTGCTATGTTCTTGAAGCAAATGAAAACAATGCATTCTGTAGGATATAAAACTGTTCCTAAATGTGGCAGTGGATCACTGCAGTCATTAGATTAATACCAACTATTATCATCCAGGATGCTCATCTGTTTTTACTGAGCTTTGTTAATGAAATGGAAATGTATGATTAAAGTCATCCTGTCTGTCCCTCTAAAGCTGTGCCTGTGAATGAGTCACTGTTTTACAAATGGGT